TTTGCCCCTCAAAATCAAACTTTGAAGGAGAAATATTTAGTTAAGTTCTTAAACAGGGGGATATATGCTGACTTCAAAGCAATGAATATTTTCATAAGCAATGACATCATATGTTTGAAATGACGTCACGAAAATGACGTAAATTTAAAATTTCCATGATTTAGACAGAAAATAGATATTTTACGTCGATAATCACCAAGCGCAGGTCTGATCAGGCTCAATATTTTGATATATTAATGTGTAGATTGATAATATCAATGAAATATGTAAATATCGTTCCTGAACAATCTTGCGCTCTATGAATTTTAAAGCTAAAATTGTTGAAATTTTGTCCATTTTGTCCTCTTTCTAAAAAATGATATAAAATCGGACTGGTTTGTGACGTCATAAACACAAAAATTGTCAATAAACTACTTTGAAACTATAATATGTTCTGTTAATTTACATTTTTTATACAATTTATAGAATTCAGCACATTTCAAGAATTTTTCAAAATTTGACTTTTGTGGGGGCAAATATATGCAGCATACTGCATATAGTTCTTATAATGTCGACCTACCTCCCCTCTGGTTTTGGTTATACATCTTAAGTAGCTGGCCACTTTGCCGTAAGTTCCCTCCATTTCTAAGATTCCCAGCAGTGAGGTCACAGTCTGGTCACTGAGACCCAGGGAGGTCAGAGGTTTGGATATGTTTTTATGATGACTGAGCATCTACAAATTAATTTTTTTTTTAAATCATTCACTAAACCAATGATTTTTTTTTGGCCACACTAAAGATCTTTTTCATGTACCAAATGAACAGAATCCAGAGAAAAAAATGAAGAAAGCAATGCACATGAATCCATTTTGCCTAATACCTATGTACCGGTAGTAGAAAATTCTCCATGGCACAGAGTTAAATGTTTGAGAAAAAATCTAACCTTGACCCCTGAGAGAATGTGAAGGACGTCTGTAAACTGGTCCCCTGGTACACCACAATGTTGTAAAATGGCATGCAGTATCATCACATGGTTGACTTTTATGTAGTAGTTTCTTTGCTGAAATTAACAAAGAATGAAGCTTTAACATATTTTTGTCAGACACAACTTAACGGCAATAATAAAGCCCTTTTTGTTTTTTGCCCCTCCTGAAAACATTAGTTTAAGATATTGGAGCGGGCTACATTATTGCAGCTAGTCACAAATATGAAATAGAATTTAAAGCTGGTTTTTGTTACCTGTAAAACTGGAAATTCAAAAATAATTTCTTGTACAAGAAGCACCACCTCAGCATCAGGGATGAGGCTAAAATTATAAGCAAACAACAAATTACAGCTATACCTTACCACATAAACCATAATCATCAACAAAAATCACACTCAAACCTCTGTCTTTATCAAGGTGAGTTTGCTAATTCTCATCAATATTTAATGAAACCAACTTTCCAATCAAGAGCACAAACTGCCAATTAAATCAAATCTGCAATCTATTTTAGGACTCTGTTACTTGATGTGTCAACTGTTTGGATTAAGTCATGTAAACAGTCAAGTGGCAAGGAGGTGGAGGCTCATAAAACCTGTGTCTTTTGACATGATCTATATTTAATCAGCCTTACCTGCCCAGGTTTGGGGTAACTATATCAAAGACACATTCAGTTAGCTCCCTTGGATGCTGACCGTAGACTTTTTTCTCCCTGAAAACTCTCTCTATACAATATCTCTTGACATTACTGCAACTGTGACGAGCAACATATCTGACAAACGGAATCTAAGAAGAATGAAGAAATCACAGAAATCAATTGTTGGCAGTTGATCAGTCCAGTAAACAAAGATTCTTTGGAAGTCCATTTTTCCTAGGGTTTACATAAACCTGTTACATACATTCATAGAACATTTTATATAATCTAGTTTTTACCCTGAGATCAAATGGCAGTGATACAAGGTGACCACAGTGGTCCATGAATCGTGTGTACTGATCTGATTTGGCATACAAGTCACACTTAGGCATCAGGAGGGGTGTGGTCACCTTCACTGCTCCGTGATGCTGGAAGATCCTGACCAGTGTATCCTGGACGGACTCCTGAACCAGTGAGAGGTTTATTGTGAATTTATTCTGAAAGATTCAAAAACATTTAAAGTCATAATTCAAACAAAAACTGATCAAAAATACATATATACAGCTGTATTTACAGTCAAACTTTGTTGATCAATTTGATTGGACCAAGGAAAAATTTCAGGATACATGTAATGGATTTGAGATTGTGGTTAAAATTCAAGAGGAAAAAATTTAAAGGACTTTAAAATTACTTTAACACATCCATGATTTTCAAAATATAAATAAAGTTAAAAATACATTTGTTGAAATGTGTTTAAAAATATTTAATTATCAAAAAATCTTGATCTAATATGTGAATAAAATCATGGTAAGTTCTGAAATCCATGCATAAATTATTTTTCTCTAAACAAACCTTGAAAAATTCACTGTCAAACAGCAGATCGTCGGCAGCATTGACAGTCTGGGAGAACAGGGCTGTCAGCATGTGTCTGTAGGCCTTACTGAGGGGATCAGCAATGGTGGATCTAAGAATTTCATCCAGTTCCTCCTCCTCCATTTGTGGAGGGGGTAGGTATTCTGACTGTAACAGCTCCTTCGTGGAGGCTCTCTTTGTAGGGTCATGGTTCAACAGCCACTTAATTATGCGAGTCTACAATACAAGGCTTCTTGTAATTTCACATCAATAATTCCTTGATTGTTGCTAGATTCTAAGTAAGTAAGTATCTAGCAACTATCATGAGAGTACATGATTGTTGCTAGATACATGTACTCTCATGATAGTTGCTAGATACTTACTTGATTGTTGCTAGATACTAGTCTTACTTGATTGTTGCAAGATATTTGATTGTTGCTTAGATACTAGTCTTACTTGATTGTTGCTAATTTAGCAATGCTAAATACTTAACTCATTACTAGATACTTACTTGATTCTGCAGTTCATACTGATTAAAGTCTTCGGGAAACTTGATTTCTGGCAGCCTTAGGTTCCCCAGTATTTTCACTCTCTCCATTCCTGTGGCCAGTGGCTTGTAGCACATTTCAAAGAAGATGATCCCCAAACTGTACAAATCTACTTTCTGGAAAACAAATATGGAAAAATGTATCAAGGATCAGTTTTCTTAAATAAAGATATTTTATTTGCATCATATCCCAAATCTAAATGAACAACCAGGTTTTATAAAGTAATACAGACAATAAAAAAATTAATGAAAATAAACATGTATTTCTATAATATTCCTTTAAAAGTTTTTAAGTTTTTAAAGTTTCATTAACCAGTATTTAATCATTTATTTTTATACTCTATTAATTTTTGGTAAATTCCATCAAAATTCAACATTTTTTCCTTAAACAACTCTATCTCCTAGATATAGAAATTTTTGGAAAATTTCCATAAAAATTCTATATCAACATTTCATCCTTACCCTACTCTGTCTGACCACTGACCTGACTGTAGACGATTTTACTGGCCCCGGTCATCATCTCGGGACTGACGTAGAGGGCGGTGCCCACTTTCCCTGTCAGGCTCCCGTCCCCCGTGGTCTCTGAGTAAGATTCCAATGTATCCTCAGCAGCACTCAGGGTCAACATCTTTACGTCTAGAATGTTACTCTAGAAAAGAAGTCCTAAATGTTCACAAGATTAAGAATAATTTTATGTATAATTGATTTTGATGTTGTTTTAATTACATATGATGAAAATGCAAGATTTTTCTGATAAATGAGCTTTGCTAATTTCTATAAATATAAAAATGCCCATTTTCACCTATAAAAGGCAAAATACAAAAAGCATTAAAGCAAAAGAAACCATTACCTTGTTTATAATACTGGTAGTTGCAAGACCAAAGTCTCCGATTTTCACTTGGTCATTAGAGTCTAAGAAAATGTTAACAGGCTTCAAATCTCTGTGTATCATTCCCTGTAAAGGTTACAAAATATTGGGTTAACACCTTGACATGTACCACTAATCCTTAGGATAGCCCTATTTGAAGTACGGTGGAATCTTTGTTTGGGGCGAGCAAAATTTTACTTATTCATTGGAATATACCCAGGATACATGAAATTTCAATTGTTATTCATTCATACAGAGATTCTCAATGAATCAATATATTTTCAAAATAAACATTCATGGGGGGGGGGGGGGGGGGTTTGGGGGGTGTTAAACTTGTGGGTAAAGGTGACCCATGAAGTTTGAACCCCCACACAAACAATGATGATTCTTCAGTAAGTTAAAGATTAGTTACTTGTTCGTGGATGTGGGTCAGTCCCTCGATGATCTCCCTGAAGAGCCTCCACACGCGATTCATGTCCTGATACAGACCAGCATCTATACAGTTCCTCAGGGTGCTCTTCTCACAGTATTCCATCTATCACAGAAAAAAATAATCTTCTGTCATGTATTACAAAAGGATTTTTTTTTTCCTACTAATATTTCTTAGCTTATTTTTGTACAATATGATGTTTGAGAATGGACTGATCCATAGTTAACAACCAATCAGATGTCATTTATTTTATGTAACTAATCCCTTTGTATAAATTATACAATAAAATATGTTCAAAACAAACAGTATATTTTATCATACTGTATATCACTTAATTTTTGAAATACCTTATTTTTGAGATATAGGCATTTACTCTTTATTAGCGAGACAAAAATTTCATCATTTTCATGAATTGTGGTTACTTCACTTCTTTATTTTGAACAATAGTAATAAATGCGAAAATGACATTTAGGTAACATGTTGTTTGGCATAATTACATGAAAATAAAGTTATCCCAAATAAAAATTAATTTACAGTAACTGATTTTAATACAGTATCATCTGTCCATAATGTATTTCATGGTTTTTACATTTATAATACTGTATCAGAAATAAGAGTGATAGCCAATGTCAGCCTCTGACCTGAATATAGAGATAGTGAAGTTTTGGGTTCAGAGCTGATTCATCTCCCTCCTTGTCATTTTTGTTCTCTCCATCAACCTAAAAAAAAAACAAGACCACAAATTATTAACTCTCCATCAACCTAAAAAAAAACAAGACCACAAATTATTAACTCTCCATCAACCTAAAAAAAAACAAGAACTCAAATTATTAACTCTCCATCAACCTAAAAAAAAACAAGAACTCAAATTATTAACTCTCCATCAACCTAAAAAAAAACAAGACCACAAATTATTAACTCTCCATCAACCTAAAAAAAACAAGAACTCAAATTATTAACTCTCCATCAACCTAAAAAAAAAAACAAGAACTCAAATTATTAACTCTCCATCAACCTAAAAAAAAACAAGAACTCAAATTATTAACTCTCCATCAACCTAAAAAAAACAAGAACTCAAATTATTAACTCTCCATCAACCTAAAAAAAACAAGACCACAAATTATTAACTCTCCATCAACCTAAAACACAACAGAATACAGTATGCAGGGAAAATTCTGCATTGGTTTCATTATCACCCCTTTTATTCTTGAACTAGTTGGCAAATTTAAAATGGGTCAGATTGAAGAAAGACAGCAAAACCTTTTAATCCAAATTTTGTCTGTGCAAATTTAAATCAGGACAGAATTAATTGCAAGTCTTATCTTAAAAGGGCAAAAAGTAACACTCGGCAAAATATAACACTGTATACAGTAACAAAACAAAGCAAGGTATCAAATACATGTAATGCAATTCTACTTCATGCTGCCACATCAAAATAAGGTACAATGTGACAAAGAAATAAACTTCCTCTTGTGTTGGCTTTACCTGATCCACTAGTAAGTCCTCATTATCCAGACTCTGTATGAACACCACATCCTCTGACATGTCTGTTAGCCTCCTGTAAAGAGATTAAAAATATCAACATTTAAATCAATATTCACACATCCATGCTTTTGTTGTAGAAGGGTGTGATGAGTAAGATTGTGAACTTACATCTTGAAAAACATCTCATTAAAGTGAGATGGTATAAAAAAGCGTTTTTTAAAAACAACTCCTGCATTTTAAACAAGAGGCCCAGGGGCCACATCGCTCACCTGAGCAATTGGCTAAGAAAAAGCACACATCAGATCAGAACTGAAAGTTTACCAAGGGGGTGAGGGGGCTTGAATTTTAAACCCCCCGGGGGGGGGGGGGGGGGGGGGTCATGATTAGAACAAACTTCAATCTACACTACCTGAGGATGATTCCCTATAAATATTACTAAGCATGGCTTTAAAGTACTTGAAAAGAAGATTTTAAAAGTTTTCCCTAGATATTCCTATGTAAAACTTTTATCGGCCATTATGGCCCCACACTACCGCCGGGGGTCATGATTTCAACAAACTTGAATCTACACTACCTAGGGATGATTCCACAGAAGTTTCATCTTTCCTGTCTCAATGGTTCTTGAGAAGAAAATTTTTCCTATATATTCCTATGTAAAACATTGATCGGCCATTTTGGCCCCACCCTACCCCCGGGGGTCATGATTTGAACAAAATTGAGTCTACACTAACCAGGGATGATTCCACATGAGTTTCATCTTTCCTGGTCCAGTGGTTCTTGAGAAGAAGATTTTTCCTATATATTGCTATGTAAAACTTTGATCGGCCATTTTGGCCCCACCCTAACCCCAGGGGTCATGATATGAACAAACTTGAATCTACACTACCTGAGGATGATTCTATACGAGTTTCATCTTTCCTGTCCCAGTGGTTCTTGAGAAGAAAATTTTTAAAGATTTTTCCTATATATTCCTATGTAAAACTTTGATCAGCCATTTTGGCCCCACCCTACCCCCAGGGGACATGATTTGAACAAACTTGAATCTACACTACCTGAGGACGATTCCACATGAGTTTCATCTTTCCTGGCCCAGTGGTTCTTGAGAAGAAGATTTATAAAGATTTTTCCTATATATTGCTATGTAAAACTTTGATCGGCCATTTTGGCCCCACCCTACCCCCAGGGGTCATGATTTGAACAAACTTGAATCTACACTACCTGAGGATGATTCTATATGAGTTTCATTTTTCCTGGCCCAGTGGTTCTTGAGAAGATAATTTTTAAAGATTTTTCCTATATATTCCTATATAAAACTTTGATCGGCCATTTTGGCCCCACCCTACCCCCAGGGGTCATGATTTGAACAAACTTGAATCTACACTACCTGAGGATGATTCCACATGAGTTTCATCTTTCCGGGACCAGTGGTTCTTGAGAAGAAGATTTTTTAAAAATGCCATTAATTTTTCTCTAATTCATAATTATCTCCCCTTGGAAAAGGGCGTGGCCCTTCATTTGAACAAACTTGAATCCCCTTTACCCAAGGATACTTTGTAGCAAGTTTGGTTGAAATTGGCCCAGTGGTTCTTGAGAAGAAGATGAAAATGTGAAAAGTTTACGACAACGACAACGACGACAACGACAACGACGACAGACAACGGACAAATTTTGATCAGAAAAGCTCACTTTAGCCTTTGGCTCAGGTGAGCTAAAAATCCTATTTTCAAAGGTGTTATTTTTTCTACAGCTAATAAGAAAAATACATTATATTGTGAAATCATTTACCAGTAAATTTTTCTGCAAAATTTTCATTATTTTTTTTTTTTTTGATATAGGGAGCCCACAATGTACCTAATGTCCAGCTGGAAATTTATTAAAATGACATACAAATTCTTCACTCACAAAAACAAATCCCTACAAACCCTCAAAATCTGACCGCACAAAAACATGTGATTTTAATTTACACTACTGTAGCATCAAATCCAAATTTTAGGATGTGGGATCAAGCTGTCTTGTTCCCAAATCCCATACTGTAAACCAACTATTATTCGTATCAATTTTTATTCGCAATTCGTCAGTTTAAAATCAATCTTTGACGATTAATTTTCGCGACCAAAGAAACATTCTCTATAATTACAAAGCAAAATAACTGGTTCGCAGCTATTAATATTCGCAAGTTAGAGTAGGTTTTGAAACTTGTGAATATTTCTAGCACACGAATTAAAGTTTGTTTTCAGTATCCCTTACAGGAATGAGGTCCCGAATACATCAGCCTCATTTTCCTCATCCTCCTCCGAGTCCCAGCCAGGGTTTAAAATCGCTGAGTATGACCTGCTCCACTCCACTGATTCCTCCATGGTCTCTGGAGCCAGTCTCTCTGCGTTATCTGTCAGATCCAGGCTGTTGTGCAGTTTGTCAGGAGTTTTAGGGGTGGATCTAGGGGTGGTACTGATGGAACTGGAACTCTCGCTGTGGGCGGGGTCATCACTGACCTCGATCCAGGAATTAAAGTATCTGTCCAGAAAACGAGGATCAATTTTTATGTTCTGTTTTATTTTATCTTTTTTACACGACTTGTATATTTTATATGTAATGATACATAATTCAATTTTTAAAAAAATCTACCCTAAACATACTTGATAAACCATTTTAGTGTGAGAAATGATAGCTTTGATTATTTATAGGCAGGTGTATAAATGTATATTGCATGTAGTTTGCCTAATATGACTCAACCATTCTCTTAAAATATATAAGTCTCTTTTAAAAATTTATTTTCTTTCATGTAGTTTTCCTGACATGGTGCTTGTACCTATAAACAAAAAAACTGAAGCAACTGTAAAATTTGAACTATTTGAATATCAAACATTTCCTATAATTTATATGTACCTGACAACATTCTCATGGTTGAGCCTTGACAACAGTTTGACTTCTCTTGTAATTTTCTTATTGAACTGTTTACTCTTTGGATTTAATGGAATTCTTTTGATGGCATAGAACCTCCTGTCCAATTTGTTTCTGACCTATTGAAAGGAAACATGAGCTTATTTAAAAAAAAATTCTTTCCATGAGTAAGAAATATCTCTTGAAATTCCAAACTTGGAGGTAATTTTATTTTTAACCTTGACATGAAAGATTATAAAAAGAAAAAGGATTTTTTAGTTGAGTAAAAAAAACCATTTTTTTTTTTAATTACATAATCAAAGAACTTTTTTCTGCACCTTGATGACATCACCAAATCCTCCCTTGCCAAGTGACTTGAGAATCTCGAACTCATTGGTCAGACGCGACTGACCACTGGCCTCGTACGGCGTGATTAACGGCTGCTCCTCATCAGAGGAATCATCATCTGTAAATCGATTAAAGCAACAGTTAAGTCTGGTATGTCAGAATATTTTAAACATACATAAGTACATTGAAAATCTTCAAATTAATTTATTAGTCATAAATCATAAATTTGTGTACTGAACATGCTGAAGTTTTCAAAAAGACGTGCTACGTTAAAGCATGTTCTAAGCATGTACACAAATAAGCAGACAACAAGCAATGCAAGAGACTTCATAATACAACTAATTTGTAAGTGAACATCTGCAATACTGTTTTGTTAGTGGACCTCTTATATGACATTATCTTAAAGGAAGAACTAATTATACTACCTTGTGAGTGGACCTCCTCCTTTGTTTCTGGTTTTGATATTGGCAGGCTGATGGGAAGAGCTGTTTTGATAAAGCTGTGGTCCAGTAACTGGTGAACAGACCAGCGAGTCTTATCATCCTTAATTAGACATCTAAAGGAGGGAAGTAATCAGAAGTAGAGCAAAACTTGTTTAGTATGAACAGGGATATTGCAAATTCACAGATGTAGCAAAGTTATCTTGGATCCCCAGCTTTATAAATCTAACTAATTCCTGATACGGATATAACAAATTACGGATCCGATATAGAGAAGTAATTTCATATGTCCCAGTGACTTCGTTATAACTGAGTTTTACAATATATCTTGTCCATGAACAATAAAATATTTACTTTGTGTTCACATCCCTTGATAATATACATCATGTAATTAATTTGAGAAATCTTGGATAATGACAGTACTACTTCACTACTGACATACTACTAACTTGTTTAAGAAGTCCTGGAAAGATGCTGGGAAATGAGAAGGTATTTCTAGGTCTGATCCCTCTACATCTTCTCCAAGAGCAAGTGACAGCAAAACTATACCCTACAATGGCACAGGCATAGAGTATTATGATACAATAAAATGAAGAAGAAAATTGTTACTCATTCTGATATGTTTGTCATATTTGACTTACATTCTTAAATTTTTGGCATCTTTATGCCACAAAGACAATGTAAATAAAATTCCATGAAAGTTGCATCAAGCATGATTTCTTTTTAGTTGTCACTTATCTGATATAAAGTAAATCATGTTCCATAGATTGTATTCTATAACTTCATGAACTACACCAAAATATATCTACTGCTATATTCTCAGTCTTGGTGATCTGTTTTAGATCTTTAAATTTCATGAACTGTTATTAATGTATTGCTACCAGACTGTAGACATCCCCCTTCTTGGTGGCCCGTCCCTGAACAGTTCTGTGGTCATCAAAGTGGACGCCCGGTCTGGACTGCTCCAGTGTGTAAAACAAATCCGATAACCTACAGACAGACAGACAGTGAGAACATTGTTCATAAACAGCTCATGGTTTCATGTCAGAACAGTTTTCAGTTTTCAATATTTTTTAACTTTCAAATTTTATATGAATTTTTAAAATTTCTCAAATTATTGTTGACATTGTGTAGACAATTGTTAAGTCTGTCATTTATATAAAATTTCATTATGCCATTTTAATAAAATATAATACATGTACCTGTACATATGAAAATACAAAGATAATGCATGATTTTTGTGCACTACTGGTATATTGTATAATTATTTTCACTGGCTACTACACTGTACTTTTCATTTACCTTCTTTCAATACTGTAATCTGCAACTCGGATTTTGCCTGTGGCATCCAAAAAGATACTGGAAGCCTGAAAAGATTTTTTTCTGTGTACATAAGAAATTTATGAAATAGGAAAAAAAATTGAAATACTTAATGTTTCTACTTCTAGCTATCTACCCTGAGACTTTTGTGGACCACGTCTTTGTTGTGTAGACATGCTAATGCCTCCAGAATTTCCTCTGTATGATGTCTCAGATGAGCGACGTGGATCGGACGTTTTCTCCGGATGTTGACGGATAAACTGCTCCCACTGCAGTACTCCATCAATAACTGTAAATAATCAAGTCTGTCAAACTATGGTCAGAAAAATACATCAAAAACAGTAACCAGTACTGCAGATTCCTTAATTTTAGTGAGGAATTTATTATTGAGTAATTTCGCAAGATGCACCACTCACAAAATGAAATTACCCTCTTTTCAATTTTTTCATTGCTTAAAATTACGGAAAACTCTAAACTTGCAAATACCAGTATATGTCTTGAAGTTTGATAACTATGAGTCATTTTGGGATATTAAATACTTGCATTAAAAAGGAATCTATGGTATTAAATCATGACAGATGTTTGCAAATTAATTTAACTTTATAAGAAAAATTTAGAGTTCAAATGTTTTTTCCCTATTTATTACAATGTAAAACTGTATGACTTTCCTTTAGTTGTCTCAGCCAAGCCCCTGAAACCATGACTTGAATAAACTTGAATGTTTTCTGGATGAGAATTTTTAGTGAGATTTTATTAATAACCCAACAATGCATGTTTTTTTGTTTTTACTAATTCTAATCATATTCAATTGAAAAATTCACTTGAACAACTTGAACTTCCTCCACCCGAAGTAGCTTCTAGCCAAATTTGGTTGATATTGACTTTAGTAGCAGTAGTTGGGAAAAAGAAGCAAGTTGACAGAAGCAAGACACTCTTTAATCAGAAGAGATTGGTAAAGCCTTTGGCTTAAGTGAGCTAAAAATTAACAACAAATGAATATGGATAATGGGCAGCCAAATCTGACACTTTAAATTTACTGTTACGTTATGCAATGACTTACAAAGACTGTGATTTTCCCTGGATCTTGTTGATATTTGATGGCGAGGTAATGAACAAGGTTAGGATGGTGTAAGCGGATCAGGGATAGTAACTCTTGTTCAATACTGTGCACCTGATAGGAAAAAATCCAACAATTCACATGGTTAATAGCTTTGAAAAGGTGGTAAATATAATGAAGAGAAAAGCATTCCATAAAAATCCAACATGATATGAAACTATATTTTTACATCTCTGGCATAAAGAGGGTCCATTACAACAAAAGATACCCTAGAGGGAAAATAAGGTAACATGAATGAAATATAGTATGTGACTGATATTGTGATATGTAGTAAAATAATACATTTTTACTGATAGTTTGGACTTTTTGTTTGTGGTTGACATAAAACAATATGACCTACACCTTGATTACAGAAAATACTGTCATTCAAAGAATAAACTCTAAAACTTGAATTTGCTTGGATGCGAAAAGTACAGCATATATTTCTGTTTAATATTTCAGTGCAACACAGTACAGTAAAACATGCATATTGTAAAGTGTCACTTCTAATAACTTGGATTAATTGTATTGTTACCGCAATTTTCTAAATATGATTAAAGAACAAAATACATTTGAAAACTACAAGATATAAAATCACTTTGCCATAAGCATTAATTAGAAAGGTATTCTCTGTATCAATGTCTTACAGTATAAGCATATCACTGTACTTTAACACTCAAACTAAGCCCCTCTACCCCTTTGTCATATGTGCTTTGTATTGGCAGGGTACATAAACTAACCCTTTGTTTGCCTTTTCCCCTCTTTGTCAAAATGGAAGGGGAAAATAGCCCTGTGAAGGGACAAAAACTAACCCACACCTGTTTGCCCTATCCCTTTAGTGTTGGGAGGAGACATTAATTAACCCCCAACTGTTTGCCCTATCCCTTCAGCACTTGGAGGGAACATTACATAACCCCCACCTGTTTGAGACAAGCTGCCCCCTCTTTGTCTTCATCTTCATCCTCCTTTCTCAGAATTTTCTTTCGGCCATAATGTCTCCATTTTAAAACCCACTCTGATATCGTTACAAGTTCACCGGATGTTGTGTCTATTCCAACATACACTGTGTTTCCAGAGGATCCATGCCCTGTTAAAAATACACTTGTAATCTTATGTTCAAATTACAATTTTTTCTCAAAATATGGCCAAAATGCTGTAAACTCAGCATCAAAGACAAACAATCCATCAATTTACAGATCCAGGGGTCTAACACTGAGACCTGCTTACATCTAATTAAAAATATAACTTGATAAGAAAATACAAATAAATCAAACATCCCAGTCACAGTTCTAAACAGTCCAAGATCATAATTACACTCCTAAGTCTCTGATTTAATAAGTATTAGCAACTTTTTTACATGAGCTGTTTCAGGAAACCCTTACCGAGACAGGTTCCTCTATGTACAGTTCTCTCCCCCTTGGTGTTAAATGCCAGGACAACTATGCCCCCCGTGTGATCCTGACAGACATGATCGTCTGGGGACTGTCTGCAGGGTGTACTGGTCCTCCTGAAAAAATAAGATTTTAGAAAGTTTATGTACAGTGAAATCTAAATAATGATGAATACTAAGATTCAGTCATTATCATAAATCTGAGTTTCATGTCCTTGAAATGCAGCCCAACCATATTGAGATATCAAAGTGGGATTATTTATTCTAGTAACAAAGACTGTAACCTTAAACCCAGATAAGATTTCGATTTACTTCATATTCCATAACTTATATATTAACGGTTGATTTAATCCATTCACAACAAATACTTTTTTTCTGAATAACTTATTTTTTGATGACACAAACCTTTGTCTCCTTGGTTTGCTGTCCCTCAGTTCATTGTTGGCGTGGACAATGAGGGGGGAGGGGGAGACAGAGGTCCGAGGGCGGGAGATCTTTCCTGGGGTTCCAACAGGGGAAATATTTGGCACAGAATCTGATGTGGGGGAGGGAGGCACAGAAAGGGGCCTCTCCTCAACCTAAAAAAATAATCTCTTTAAAAATAATGTAAACCTATTTTCATTTAAAAACTTTTATTCATGATGCATCACTTTGAAATCCATCTGTAACTACTATTTTTCATGAATCTATCAATGATTCGCAATAAGAATATTTCTGAGTAAAAGAGGGTCACCATAATTTTCACACATGAATGAAGGTTGGAAAGATGTAAGATTCTTGGTATATGTACTAAAAGTATTTTGGGCTCAGAGGAACATAATTTTTTTTTAAATGAGCAAAAGTAATTTTAAATTTACACATGCACTTACTTGTTTTATCTCCTCTTTTCTCTTCTTGTTCTCCTCCTTTAGAGCTTCTTTCCTCCGCTGGATTTCTATCTCAAGTGTTTGTAGCTGAATATTAATGAAAAGAGAGGAAAAAAGATTTAATATGAACACTTCTTATGGTGGATAGGGTGTCAACAAATTATTTTTTTATCAGCCACCAGATGTAACTCAAATTTCGGGATATGATATCTTAAGCTGTCAACTATCATTTGGCAAAGAAAATTTTCAGAAAATTTAGTTTTAAAATTTGGTCATTTTATCATATCTTTATATGGAGCTCCTCTTCTAAAGGAGACCAAAATAGTCTAAATATGGCCACAACCACCCAGCCCCTTTAAAATATAAAATGGGGTTTGTAAAAGGTAATCAAAGGATATGTCCCAAATGATGGAGAGAGGAATGAATTATAATCAATCATAACACATTGAGTGTACAGTTCTTTCAATTTCTTTTCAATATTGCGGGGACACAGCTTTTATTGTGAAAAATGATAAAAAATGATAACATAATTTGTGAAAATTTTGTGTCACTTATGAGTTTTTACTAAGGTAATTTGTCATGGAAAAAAAGGCATCAAGAAAATTTAGTGTTCTACAGTACTATCAATGATGTTACATCTAGATTTCCTGTTGACTCCCTTTTCTTCTTTGTACAGTACTATAATGTTAATTTGACATTTCCTGTTTACCCCCCTTTTTCCTTTTTCTGCAGTATTACAATAATATGTATAATGTTTCATTTACATTTCCTATTTACCCCTTTTTCTACTTTCTACAGTACTATAATGCTACCTCTGTTCCCTTACTGTGAAATGACTAATTTTCATTCGGGTTAATTTTTGTTGTTTTCAAGGTATGGAGAGACCCACAAATATATGACCATCATGTATTGTAAAATTTCATACACATTACTACTAAACATTGTCCAACCAAAAAATCAAATCCCAACAAACTAGAATTTTTCCTTCAAACCAAGAAAATTTGACCCCTGGAAAATAAGCTATTTCACAGCATTTACCCCCTTTCCTCTTTCTACATTACTATGTTATGTGTAGATTTCCTATTTACCTCCTTTTCCTCTTTCCTCCTCAGCTTCTCTAGTTCTTTCCTTTGTTCCTCTTCCCTCTGTTCCTCCTGTTTCCTCTTGTTTATCATCATCTCATCATAGAAGGATTTAGCCTGGGGTTTGTTGTGTGCATGTAAAAACTGCTGCACGTGCTGGGCTATTTGTAGGAGCATTTCCTGAAATAGGTAAGTGATCAAATTGAAGCACTACTATATAAAAGAAATTCACATCATTCTCTAATAAAATTATCTGATTTTATCCATACTTCTCCTTTGTTTTCTTTAGCTATGGCATCTATTTCTGACTTAAGGTTGGATAGCTGGGATGTTGAAAGACCTTTGGCATTGGTGAAACTTAATTCAGGAACCCTGAAAAAAAAAATTATCACAAGTATAGTTTTGGGGCTTGTTAAAGTTCTACATAAAATTTAAAATAGGAAAATCCGAAATGAAAACAAAGAAGTGGCAAGCTCCCAGTCTGATTAATGCCACCCCAAACACACATACTTTGTTCCTCCTGCTATGTGAATAGTGCTGAACTCAAATAAGGTAAAAGGAGGGGATGGTTTTAGTCAGATTTAGGTAGCCCAGACTTTGATACCTGTTTGCAAGTCAAATTACATTATATTTCCACAGTGGTTTTTTTCCCTCTATTGGTGCTAATAGATTACTCACTCTTCTGGATATCTTGGAGGACATTTAACAAGCAGATCGACCTGTACATGGTTTTCCTCTTGCTGTCCTATGCTCTCTTGTGGCTTGATGGTAATTTGAATCTCAGGAGGCCTGGCAACCTGTGTTAATTTAAGAAATAAGGTATCACTTTTTGAGTTTAACCGGGATGTAAATAAATCATGCATTCATTTTAAAGTTGTTTGCTACTCATCAGAGCAATGGAAAAGGAGCAAATTTGATAAAAAACGTAACTAATATATATTGTTTGTATCTCAAATAAAAAAAAAAAACGGAATGTACAGTACATATGTACATGCATGTGGATAACATTTGAAATATGAGTATAGTGTATAGTTAATTAATACATGTATAACATATGATATTGAAGATTTCTGAAAATAGTTTTCTTCTGTTTTTTGTTTGTTGCATGGAGATGCTATCATTTGCCAGTGGAGAGCTATAAATATTTTGCACTCAAGACCCATGAGCAGTAATCTTTTTTCATACTAACAACTACTGTGACTCGGGGTCTATACGGTATCATCTAAAGGACCGATCTCCACGTCCCGCAGTGGATTTGAACCATGACATAAAAAGGAACTTCTCACTCCGCGACTCTAATATGGTTTTAGAGGATAAAGTAAATAAGGGAAATAAACTAATGTAATTCATTTATGCTGGAAAGCTGTGGCTATGTAAAGGTTACATAAATTAGATTCAACTGCATAGGCTATGAAGAAGACAGCTGAATATATGATAACACTAACTACAAGATATTGGGAAATGTAACAGTTATGACTGACATGCAGAATATGTTTACTAGTTTGTTGCCTTGGGTATGCCAGAGTATCAACGATAGTTGGAAATGTGGGATAAATAAAGCCTGTTCTTCATAAATGACCCAACAAACTTGATAGTGATATATGAATGGTGACAGATGCAGACTCAGGATGTTTTTTTCCCAGGAATGGGAGTCCACATCAAAAATATTTGTACGTGCAAAAGAGTAATAAACTTCCTAAATCCTGAAATGTGAGGGGACATTTTCTTAAGGGGGCCGACTATAGTTTTATTGTGTGAAAACTACAATAGCGAAACTCTTCATTTTTACAACATATATAGATTACATTAACTTCAGTGTACATGCAAAGTTTGGGGGAAATCTACCGTCCAGGTATTTTTGAGGGACCGTCTCAAAATACAGGTACATTTACTATAGGATTATATAGGAAAATGCCAATTTTTAGCACTTTAAAGCAAATTATACAAATACTACAATAGACATTTTGTTCAAACTGTAATATTTGATGAGTAATACTATATTATACAATATATGTAAGAAACACAAAATTCTACCGTCTTGTTACCAGAGGGGGCATCTCAAAATGCAAAAATTTAGCAAATTTTACTATTTTTATAGAGTATTACTAAATATGACGTACACAATGGATTCACATGAAAACATAATAAAAATATTGGAGATATCCTCAAATTTCTATGTTTTAAATTTCAAAAGCGTATGTTTATTACTTTTTCTTTAATAATATTTTTATTACCCCTTTCTTTAAGAACTACAGATTATCATAACGTCAAAAACACACTGCAACGACGTCAACCTACCTATCAATTGCAAAATCGGTTAAAAAACAAGTTATATAAAATTGTAATTATATTTTTATACCTATATTTTCTTAATTTTGTTTAATTTTAATAATTAAGCGAAAAAAGTTGCATTAAAACAGTAAATACGCTTCGTTTTACTATGATGCGCGAAATATTGCGCAATGGAAACTATAGTCGGCCCCCTTAAGTGTATTTTCTATTTTTGTAAGAGGAAAACCGTGTTGGGAGGGGGGGGGGGGGGATATCATCAGGTGTATATTTGGCCAGTTCATCCTCTTTTAAAAGAAGTCTTTGTTCGTTCCGTTTTTATTACATGTACTTTAAATGATGTAACTTCTAACTTACTTCACAATATTACCGATATGTTTTTTTTGCCAAAGCTCAATCAAATTACGATAAAAAGAACAGACTTTATATAATTCATGCAGTTTTCATTTCCATTCAATAGAATAGTCCAGGAAAAGGGTGCAAAGACTTACATGTGACAGTTGGCGCCCTACGATTGTGTCACCCCTAACCTAGAAGACAAATGGACTGATCCAATAGTACAGAAATGCAAAAAAAATGGTCAAGCGCACATGTCTTTAAAGGAACTCACATGAAATAAATAGCCGCATTCCAAAAACTTAAGGAAATAAACACATCAATATATTGTATCAGTAATATGGTTATTTTTCTGCTAACTCAGTAACTATTGTTGTTGAAATGCAGGTAACACAGGCAACAAAATCCGATGATAATCAGCATGCACAAAATTTTGCTGGCTAACTGTGACCTCTTAGCTTTGCTCCTCTGAAATATTGATCCTTAGAAGTGCCTGATGCTGTGACATCAGGCAAAAATGATTTTTAAAAAAAAATCAACAGGATAAATTGAATGCGTTGTACTGTACACACGCCCGATCACTTATGATAACACTATCAAATTAAGTTTATGGTTTATGACTAAACAATTTATAGTCACATAATGAGCTTGTTTTACACAAGTGTTTTGACGGTGTAAATACGCCTTGCTCAAATATAGTTATTTAAGGGAAATAATTAACAAAAAAACAAATTTTAAAATAATACGCACCGTCTCCATATTCTGATTATGACTTACACTTGCAAGCAGATTGCAACGATGCTTACTTCCATTAATTTTAATTAGAAGGACCTGCGTACGTACCTTCCAAGCATCCTTTTCTCTTAGATCCACCACATCACCAGTGAATATCGCCTGCAATGCCTGAAGTTCAAATTCCTGTCTCTCTGAAAGAGACTCCTCTGCCATTGGGCTTAATAACTGTCAACCATTAGGTTGACTTTCATCTTCAAACATATATAAAATGAGAGAATACACAAAACATTGAACAGTTGGCATTTTTTCATTCAAAGTTTAGTCTCGTTCAACCAGACGCTCGGCTGTCTCCGTGAACTCCGACCAGCAGAGAGTCTGGTAAAGAATCACGTAAGCGTTTGTAACCGTCAGAGGGCGCTCTCTTGTTTTCATTTTAAAAATCCTTTTTGTAAGCAAACGTTATATACGTTTCTTCTGCTTGATTCAATCGGAACATCACTCGGCCTTTTCCGTCAAGTCGAGAAAAAACGACTTGACGGAAAAGGCCGAGTGATGTTCCGATTGCGGAGGTTACCTGTCCTTGTAATTCCTAGCGGCAGCGACTGGAATCAAGGGCAGAGAACCAGTGCTATTTACATGATTAAAAATTTTCAGAATCTCGAGCCCGATTTTATTAAAGATTGGTTAACTCGTACCTTGTTTATTCGAGTTTTAATCTTTGAAGTCCGTATTGAATATTATATTGTGTAGAAAATATATAAAGAATAATTAACTTTAAAATATAGTAATCTTACTGGATTTGATCAAAACGATGGTCAGACAATTTTAAACATATAATTTGTTCATTTTTTTTTAAAGGTTTAATTTAATTTCGACTTATTTTCAAGATTTAAATTTTAAAAAAAAACTTTCATAGATACAGGCATACCTCTCTCTTCTAAGCCTTGTCAGGTAGTACTGTACGAAAGAATTTGTTATAAAAGCATGAGTTTATCCTTATTTGGTGTTATTGTTGGTTTCTCAATCATTTACAATAAGATTACCTTTCACTATTATTTAATAATTTGTGTGTACATGTACCTCTAGTTCAGATCCAATTAAAAAACCAAAAAAACAATAGTTAGAATTGTAATATGAATTTAAGTCCAAACAGTCAATAATTTGATAAACATTTTTATTCTGACAAAATTCAACACAGGAAACAACCAGTTTTATCATATTCTGATAATCCTCCAAGGAGAAACCTTAAATTCCTCATAACTGATTGTAGACTCTAAGTTGATCAGAGAAAATAGAAAAAAAATGTTTCTATTTAAAAGTATTAATTGTCTCTTGCACTTTTTCTTTAAGCATGTCGAGCGAATTGTAATAATAAGTAATGCACATTTTCCATTGAACACAGAGTGTCTATAGTAACACGCAGAACCAGTATTGGTAGGATTTCCAATGATCACCTCTTGTGCTGTCCTTTGAAATAAAAGTCTATGCCTTTCTGTTGCTTTGGTGGAGATCCTCTAGACTTTGCACTTCCCTAAAAGTTAAAAAGAAACCCATAAATCATCTAATATAAATGACTGGAACAATTTTTAGATGTGTTAATTTATAAGAACTTCATACCCCTGTTCTCCCTAAAAATACCATTCAACTACCAATTTGCATCCCATCAATTGAATTAAAAAAAATGAAAATGAGAATAATAAAACTTACAGAAGCCTTGTTATAATGGCGACTCCATTCTGGGGCTACATGGACAGGGTTAGGGTAGGTCTCCCCTAGGGTCACCCCCGCCTTCTCCAGGGTCCCCCTACTTAGTGTCCACACAATGTGTACTGATCCTCCATGGATGTTCTTTAATTCAGGTACCCATGTCCTTACATAATCACCCTGAAATAAAAATTACATTGCAATATGTTATCAACACAACATGAACTAAAAATTTGAAATTATTATTCATCAGATATTTTCACCTAAAATGTTCTTTTGATACTGAAAAAGGCCAGGGTCATCTTAAAAAAAAAATAGTTTGCTTGCCATCTTCCAACTTGAGTTAAAAACAATTGGGTAGGTTATAAAAGGGGGATTTATTTTTATTAATACATGTAGACACTTGTGAATATGAAGCTGAGATATTTATTTTTGGGATGAGATAACTTGTGTTGACCTGTTATCCCATCATGTAAGGTACACATTTTTATAAAAGAAATCTTAAGGAAATTAACTGTACCTCACTATCATAATCAAAACCCTGTTTAACGACATTGAACTTTCTGTCTTCTCTCGGGTCATTTCCGATTCCAGCGCTGTATAACCAATTACCATAGTTACTGCACACGTCATGGTCAATCTAGAATTATCAAAATTCAAAACATTTTTACAGATTTTTCAAATTTTATAAATACAATAATACAGATGAGTATACACTGTCAGATATTTTAAAGAAATATACTAATAATCACTAAATAATGTTAACATACCAACATTGACTCGAACCACTCTGCACCCAAACGCCAGTCTAATCTCAGATCCTTTGTCAGAAAACTGGCAACATTCTGTAAAATAATAAATAAAAGACTAATTTACAGATAACATATTTCAGACTTAAGCGCTTATTATGTATAGCTGCATGGACCAGGAATCAAACCTGTGACCAAAGCTTCACTACTAATTAAGGTGCTCTACTGACTGTATATATCATTCCCAAACCATTACACTTCACTAATCACCACCCTACCTGCCTTCCTCTGTTAGACATAAAACCAGTGGCTGCCATCTCCCTCATGTTGGCATCAACAAATGGCACACCAGTTCTTCCCTCTGTAAGCATGAGACAAGTTCTATGTTTTCTAACTTTCGTTTTTAAATAGTTTCAATTTCAATTTCCATTTTCTTTTATTAACTTAAACCCACCTTTCCAAGCATTGAACAGGTGCTTGTCCTGTTTCCACCTGATATTCTTATTTTGGATACCTAAAAAAATTAGTCACTTTTAAAAAGCAATTTTGAGAAGAGCAAATAGTCACAAATTCTAAGTATATAAATGTAAGTAAAGCAGGATACCATACTTACCTCCTTCAAAAAAGATCTGATTTCCATACTTCATGGCTACATATCTGAAATAGTCCCTCCAGATGAGTTCAAAGAGTACCCAGTATGTCGACTGGTTGGCTGTCCTCTCATTCTCATACCGCTTCACCTCCCAGTAAATCTGACGTGGAGACAGTGATCCAAAAGCAAGCCTGAAATCAAGTAATTTGTTACAAAAAGCACTGTAATCCATTGCTAGTCTTATCCCTTTAATTTCAATTATTTATTAATGAAAAAATGTAATTAATTAAGTGATTTAATTGTAAATCAAATGCAAATTCATAAATAAAAATATTTAAATTAATACAGTACATGTATTACTTTTTTTTTTTATCTCACATGGAAATGATAAATTTTCTCATACCAAACTGAAAATTTTGTAGAGTAGTCTGCCCCTAGCATACCATTCCTGGTTTCTTTGTAGGTGGCGATAGCATCAGTGTCCCACAGATAGTGGTGGAGTCTGTCCAGGGCCACAGATTCTCCTCCATGAAAGTCCACCACTGACCGGTGGTCCGGTGATGAATCTTTGGGGAAAAAATTATGGAAATTTGGAACAGAACTAATTAAAAATCAGTGTGATATATATCAATTATTGCTCTGTCAATATATCACCTTGGTAGAGAAAAAATTCAAAAAAAATTTACTGTAACTGCATGACTTGCATATCAGAAGAAAAGAAATATAATAGTGATTTTTTCAGATGAATGCATCTAGCTGTGTTAATGCTTTAAGGGACCATGACACATATGTGTGCTTCTTTTCCACATAAACAATTTTTTGCTTACTAATGGACAGTATGAGAACTCCTTATTACCTTACCTTCTACCCCCAGGTCTTTATTTGTGGGGATATCCCCCTCCTCTACACCTTGTGGCAAAGGCTTGAAAGACTCTGGCATGTTGAGACATTTCCTGACTGGTGCCTGGGCTTCCACCCGCTTCCTGAACTGTGTGTACACATCTGGTGTTCTGCAGACATAAGGACAATGTGCCATTTAATTCCTTGAAAAATGGGGCTTTCATTAACAGTGAAAGCATGTATAAAATTTTGCGACCACTCCTCTATTGAAATTTGCCAGATAGGACAACATTCCTGATCATAGAAAAACATTTTAACAATTGAATTTCCTGAAAGGGGGCTTGAAGTTTTAATCATAATGGCAAGATTTCAAAATAACATCATCCAAATCAGCAAACATGGATATCAAAACTCACTGGGCAGGGGAGAAAGGGAGATCATCTTTGTGATACAGGGTGTGACCCCAGAAAGTTTGAATGTTCACACCACAACATTTCTTGATAGACTTCTCGACATCCACTTCCTCTTGTGTAACCTTGAAAAAAAGAATTTGTAACAGAATATATGTAGTGAGAAAAAAATTGTAGAAATTTTATTTCATAATATGCTTTGCTTTACAAAAAATGCTAAATCAATTTCAGATCTATTAAGCTCCTACATGAAGGAATGCTACTCATTCTTAATATATGAATAATATTTTGAGTAATTTTCGATTCATGAATATACACTGTATAATCATTTTTAAATTTTATGAAAATGAGGCTGATTACTCAGGTAACAAAAAGAAAAGAATACCTCTTGATGGAACACAATGGCCTGAACTGAACTTTGACCCAAAGTGTCAATCATTTTCTTCAGCTCCTCCTCTGGTTTCCCTCTTCTTACAGCAAGACCACTAAAAATTTTTTAATCAAAATTAAAATTAATGTGATTTTGCAGCTCTAAAATCTTCTCATTTAAGGAGCTTACCCTCTGTAAAGACGGGATAACTCTAAATAGATGTATACATGACTCAGTCCTTTGTACATGTAAAATAATCAATCTGTAACTCTAACATTCTAATTTCTAACATTTTGTTTCACATGATTTAATAATACTTCATCAGTTTTTTTAACTTCAATCTTTGTTGCATTCAGGCCAGGTTTATGCCAATCTTGACCACAAAATAATGAATTACACATGTATGAATTTTACTAAAATTTCAAATGGAATAGGACAAGGTAGCTTTCCACGTAAATTTCCAGTGTAATTAAGAAAACTCTATTTTGTCACCCCCCCCCCCCCCCGAAAAAAATGGAGTGGAGTTGATCATAAACCCTTGGCTAGCAAAGATGCTTCATCATCTGCTTGGAAATTGCCCCCCCCCCCCCCCCAAAAAAAATTCTTTCTTGTCAGTAGAAACCCATCCCCCCTTAAGAGTCCATTCCTCAACATTATACTGACCTGCCCTTTAGCTTGAGATTCTTTCTGAGGTCCTGCACACTCTCAATCAGCATTTTAGTCCTATGAGGTCCTGTCTTCGGAAACCCAAAGTGGTAGGTACCTCCAAAATGACGAGGGTCGAATATGTACATTGGTAGGACAAAATCAGCATTTCTGCTGGCCCATTGGAGCACCTGTAATGCAATGAGAGCTTTAATTGATTAAGCATTCAGGTTTTTAAGCTATTAAACTAGAGAAAAGGTTGTAACTGTTTTGATCCTTTGGAAGACTGCAATGATTAATTTATGGTGGGAATTTTTTTTTTGTATCACAGCTACATTCATCTTTGCAGTCAAGAGTTTTCGGTCCACTCCGCTCCCTTTTAAGGCTCAGTGGAATGGGCTGAAAACCCTTCCCTAGCGAAGATGAGCTACATACAATTAACTGAACTTTGGTATCCTGAACAATTAATAATGGATATGATGAAGTGACTTGGAAGTTCCAGCACTTTTTCTGTAAGTATTTAATTCTCAATATCTCAGAACCTCGGATTAGACGGATATCTTGAGTTCTTCCCAAAAACCCATCAGACAACAAGGTTTGTCATTTATAGTTGTTGAGATATGATTCATTAAAACGTGTGGATGGGCTTATTAATTTTTCCTGCACAAAACATCAATACATATAGATTACGAACTTGTTGCCCCCACTACTTCCCCCAAAAGGCCACCCTCTGAACCCCCTCCCTTCATTCCAGGAGCTTAGGGAAGACAATATAATCCCGCTATAAGAAATGCATATAGTTATAAGAGATCTGTAAAATCAAAAAAAAAATTTAAATTCTTCTCTAGTGACTAAGCCGTTTCTTACATCTTGGGTCTACTACTTTAAAAATACCGGTGTCAGAGAGTCTACTCTGACATAGTACTTATTGGTACTAGTACTCGTCACTCAGTTCTTACAAATGCTGCATGACGCACTATAGAATCAAATGCTTCATAAAATGTAATACTTTTATGCATGTTCATACCTCATTGTCATGAATTCGTAAATCATTTCGGAGAAGACAGATTATTGTTTTGCCTCTGCATGCCATGATTTTCGGTTACGCAACCCTAGTTTTTGTTCGTGCTCGGTGTTCTTCGTGGAGAAAAAGAATATCGATCCCGATCAAATTCTGACAGCTTTTTCCGCAACAGTTTATAATACGTTTTACTTTTCAATGTTCAATTGCAAATTGATTGATTCCATAAAATAAATAATTTATTGTTCATTATAGAGAAAAACGTTTAAACATCCAATAATATAAGTGTATGGAGAATGAAAATTCTCAGAAAACAGTGTTTATCAAATTCAAATTAATTACTAAAGTTCTTTTATATTCAATTTAGGGGTTTTCATTTTTTTTTTTGGCAATGAATTTCAATGTATCACTACTTTTAAAAATCTTTATATCTGACATCTTTAGGTATCGTATGTCCTTTATGCTATATAATTATGTACACTTAATAAATTATATACTTGAATAAAAAATTTCGATAAAAAAAAAAACACGTGTATTCCGTAACTTGGTGTATTTCAATAGAAAAAATACATTTTAAATGTATCAACGTGATCGTACTTTTCTATATCTCTTATCAATCAAATAGATAAAAGACAAATTCACAAAATTTAAAACGCAGATTTGGTCAGACAATAGAAATTAATAAAGTCAATATATAAATTTTATCCAATTAATTTAGATGTTACAAAATCGTCAGTTAAAAATTTTTTAAAAAAATGTGGAAAGAGGACGTATTTATATGTAGACATGGTAAATACATGTATTGCTTAGTATAAATAGATGAAGGAAAATACCTTGAAACATTAATTAAGTTTGTTTCGTTCACTGCATGCTGGCGCCACACATTCAGTATATAGAGCATTAAAACATTTCTCTAACTCTGTTACTCTGATGACAAAAGTTTAATTTGAAAAATCACACAAAGCCTTTATACCCTAAGGTATGAGATTTCCGTTAAAACGATACATGTATACGCAACATCACCGACTGTTTCTTTGAGTCTGTGCAGATATATTGTTTCGGAAACGGACCAAACGTGTATATATCCATGTTTGTGTATAATTAACGAATCGCACTGAAATCGAGAAATTCATTACTCTATCAGTTAATCTCAATTAGCGGAACTTCTATCGCTTCCGAGAGATTTGGACCGGAGCCCCGATTGATCTTTGGCCCACAGGGTGTTCACCGGTTAATAAACGTCACAGATTCATCAATTCAATGTCCGTCATGTGGAATGATCACGAACAGAAATCCCCAGATTTTGGACATATATATATAAAATGATTCTGACAGTTGAAACAGAGAAATCTGATGTACACACTACGAGTCTACAAAATTTAAACCTCAAGAGACGAAGCATCGTTTTTAAAGGGGGGGGGGGGGTGGCAGAGAAAAAAAATTAACTTACCCGAAAAAAAAATAGTTCTAACTTCAAAGCAAAATGATAAACAAATAACAATAAGATAAATAAATAAATAGCTAGAAAATTAACAAATTGTCCAAACTTGAATATCCTTTTTCGTAGTAGTGGGGGTGGCCGTGTGCTCCTTGTCATTATCGGGAAATTACGAGAAAATCTGTCGACAATTCAATGTGTAAATAATGGTCTTACTAACAATTTCATTTCGAAAAAAGCACGTCAGGATTTGAGTTAGTGATAGATTGTATTTGCATGCTGACAAGGTCATTATATCGACCCTAGAACTTACGAAATTATGACTTTAAAGGAGACTGCTGATATTGTTGTTTCATCAACTTGCTTGTCAATAACTTACCTCGTTTTAGAAATTGTTTATACGCAAAGCATACTATAAGTATCGAATCAACTGAGAGTTAGAAACCACGTATGAAGGTGATGAAGGTATTTTGCTGCATTTGTAAAAGAAGTTGACGATTGAAAAGTTAAAGTCATCAAGTTTATCACGAATCTGTTAAAGATATATTTTCACTTTCGTAAATTTATTAATACTCATTGAAGCACTATACTCGTTATGTATTCTATATTAAAAAAAAAAAAAAAAAAAAAAATTAAAACTGTTATTGTAGATATATTGAGTTTTGTTTGATTTAATAGACTTGTTTATTGTCTCGAGAAACATTTAATTTCTAAGTATCCACCATCCATTTAAGTTAATGCTCAAAACTTCATTGCATATGCTGAAGAAAAATTCCAAATATATGATATAATTACTCAATATATACAAATGATTTACAAGGATTTACAAGTATACCCTCTCAAAGTAAGGAGATATTGTATATATTTAACACAAATCTTTCAAAACGGATAACAAGAGAATGACTGAGCCTTGCGCTACATGCGAGAACAATTCCATCTGTTTTATCCATGTTTACACAGATGATACTATCTTAGAGATTGTTATTTTTGTATGATCAGTTTCCAGAACAATGTAAATCAGACATTAAACCCCACGCCTTCATGTGTGTTTTTCTTTAAACGTCAGACACTATACAGTTCTCAAAGCTCTCATTGTTTTTCTATCAAATAAACTCTTGTTTTTCAGATGTCAGGGCTCTAAGTATGGTGGTTAACATCAGATACCGCTCTGTAATATGAAATACAGTGAAGCTTGTCTAAAACAGATCTTTTGTATTCCGAAATATTGTCTAATATGATGTTAATTTTTAACTTGAAGTCCCCTTTCAGTAATTTCAGTTGTGTAAAATTCTGTCACATCTAAACAGAAATGTTGTCCAGTCCAGCCAGTTTCCGTTGACTCAGTCTTGGACCGGACTGGACAAATTTACTATATTGTCATGGTGTAAATTTTTAATTTACCAGGTGGCACTAAATACAAAAAAAGTGAAACATGACAACTTTTGAATATTGTATTTACTGCCACCCGGTAAATTCAAAATTTACAACATGACATTATTATAGAATCTAAAAATAACATTAATACAATCCACTATGAAATATGAGTATACTTTCTTTACAATATAATAAAATATTAAAAAATAAATCGCGGGAAATGTGCATTAGGATTTTTCACTGATAAAATAAATACTATGATTCAACTTAAAACAGACCTCATAATCTCCAAATTATTGCTTAATACTCCCTTCACGGAAACATCGAAAATTGAGACATCAACGATATTGATTTTCACACAAATTAGTTTTCATCTCCCTTTCCCCAACAGAAATGTTCAATTTTGTAACTTTTGCGATCAATTACGTTGAAATAATAATAATACAAATTGAATATGATATATTGCGGGAAGAATTACCTTTGCTGTGAATGAAATCACTTATGTCTTTACTTGGTACTTTGACATGTAAAATTTGAAAACTTACATGTAAACTGTTAAATCTGGAAATGACAAATACAATTTTTCGCGAACATACCGCGAAACTGCTATTATCGCGAATCCAAATCAAACACCGTTTAATATGTAGACCAACCACGTTCATCATACGAAACGAGCTTTTGTATTTGAAGTCCACGAAGACGATTGTTATCGCAAACCCAGGTCTACTAACTTTCTTTATAAATGTTCATCGTTGTGAGGAAAATTTAAAAAAAAAAGAAGAAATTTATTCAAAAGTATTTGTCAGAAATATGGCCGTTTTTCCTGAACTTTAATTAAGACTGAGTTTTCAAATTTAATGGCTAAAAATTATATTTTGTTAAACGTATTCAAATGGTTGTTAGAAATATAGACGGTTTCCAGGAACTTTGGTTTAGGATGAGTTTTCAAATTAGTGGCTAAAAAACGATTTTGATAGCCGGATTCAAAGTAATGATTTTTTTTAGCGATAAAACAGTTTACAGACTTAACAGTTATCCGTGCATGTTAGAGATTGAGAAGTGAAGGGATGATGTATCTGTGAAGTTTTTGTGTGAGTGCGCGATTTTATCTGGTTTGTCTGTAAATATTAGAATGTTGATTGCATTGGCTTTTATTTGCTGTATGGAAATCTTATATCAAATTACACCGACAATAACACTAGACGGTTACCTATTGCTATGATAATTCCTTTGTGGTCCAACCAGTCGACCATTTCATGGAAAATCCAGTAAAAGCGTAGAGCAAGCCGGGCAATGCTTATAGATCCATTACACAGCGCTTATAGATGCTATACCCGTCTCAACAGTATCACGGAACGTCCGCCTGAATCAATAATATTTAATTGTTATTAGCTAAATTAGTGATAACAAATATCTCGATTTTCGTTTGGCTTATATGAAGAGGTTGTCGTCTGCGAGGTAATCGATTGTTTCCAGTAATGAAATTCCTTCCTCTAGAATTAAGAACGGTATATCCTGTATATCATTAGTATACAGAGCGAAATTGTCGACTTCCCTACAGAAAATCTTTCAATAATCGGAAAAGAACCAATTGTGCCGATTTTTTTTCTTCTTTTTTCCCCTATACTCCGAAACTTTCTCGTGCATGGAGACCTGAGCTGGCGCCAAAGGGTGAAAAGATTGTGCCGACAGACAGATCATACAACGATTATAATCCGTGTCTATGTTAAGATTTTCTTCATATATACACAGAAAGTTTGATAGTTGTGATGGGACTGTTGTTTCCTTCTTTACAGCTTGACAGTCCAAACAATGTGCCTTGAACTCTGCAGCATCACCTGATATTTCTGTTCCTTTAGATGGAGATAGGAAATATTCCATACATGAGGTAGGTAAAAGACAGTCTAGGCTCCGGGGCCATAAAAATGAAATGAGCTCTCTTTTGATCTATGTCTCACTTTTTCCACTATTAATCCTTTTGAAAAGGTGAGATTGAGGTCAAAAGTGACCTCGACTCAGTATTATGGCCCACGGAGCTAGATCTGTGTTTCTTGCTTTAAAAAGTCTTCTAAAATCAAAATTTAGAATTAATTTTTAAATTTGTATACGAATTTTCAATTACATTTGAATTGAAAAAAAATATTAAATTTTAATTGAGAAAGGACGAAAGTATAGAATGAATGTAAAAAGTCTGTGTCTCTTAAACGTACAGCACCTTGATGACATATCTTGATGTAAGTTTGAAAACATTTCGCAAAAACTTTAAGATACTAGCAGTAATGAATTTAAATGCATAATT